GAATTCTCCCAACCCTCCTCATGTTTAGGTGAGGCTATGTAGACCTGTAAAAAGTGCTCTATTGCTTAATTTAAAGCTATCTGAGATAATTTTCATAAAAGTCATTTACATTTTTGTTTGTCACTAAATTAAAACATCTAATGTCTTTAATTCTTCAATGACAAGTACACTGTATTTGTGCACCTATGAACTGCACGTGTCAAAATAGAATGACTGTGATAATTGGACAAACAATAGACCAAAAGTAGCATTTTACACAATGTGTTGACCACTGGAAGGATTAACTGCACCTGTACGCAAAACGACATGAAAAATGATGTTGGTGAATAACATGTTTTCATTGTGATTTTGCGGTGCACAATATCGAGCAGTGTTATTTTCTGAATGAGCTCAGGGTGGGCATTTGCGTTTTTTTAACTTTTAAAAGATTTTTTCCAAGTTGTACATGTAGAGAGATTTCACTCCATCACTGCTTCACTTCTTGTTAGACATTTTGAACCCAGGCAGGGGGGAGTGGGGACTCCCATATGAAAAGGACTGGGATGCTCCTCAGAAAATATGAATTAAACCCCCAAAGATGACCAATCTGGACGAGACTCGAACTTTATTTGATTCCTAAAAGATACCACTTGAAATGGAATAGATATAGGCTCGATTACCACCTAGCCTTTGTTCAGGATTTCAAGGAGTCTGTGCTAGTAGACCAGATTTGAGAGACCTTCGGAAACTGAGCCTAAAAAAGGAAAAAGAGCATTTTTTTCATTAGTATATTTTCTTGGAGTGCACCCAAACGGATACTTTGACTGCTAGTAGTTAGCCTGTGAACACAGACATATTTCCGGCTGTCGCTTGTCTCCGCCGAAAATAACGTCTGTGAACCCGAGCCAGGAAACAATTTCTGTGACGTAGGAATTTTAAGCCAATCACAGTTTAGCTCAAGTAGCCCCAGTGAGGTATTCGCTGCGAGGAGCACTCGAGTTTCATCCTATCATGGAATCTGATTGGCCAAGGAGAAACAAAAGTCATTACGTCACAGAAATTGTTTCCTGGCTCGGGTTCGCAGATGTTATTTTCGGCATAGACAAGCGACAGCCGGAAATACCTTTGTGTTTGCAGGCCATTGGTCAATACGGCAAGGTCTTGGTTTGAGATTTTCCCATAAAGACCTAAAGGTCGGCACACACGAGGAGACTAGTCCTTACGACTAGTCCCTGCAACTAGTCCCCTGAAGAGTTTACACGAAAGGGCTGGTCGCAGGGACTTGTCCCACGAACAGTTTGCATGATGCGTTTTGAGGAACAAGTCGCAGGGACTTTTCCTAACAAAATCCAAACCAGTTTGAATTTGTGGAACTAGTCACAGGGACCAAATTTTAGTCCCTGTAACTCGATTTTGTGGTAAAAATGGCTAGTTCACACGATGAGACTTGTCCCCTCAACTAGTTGCAGGGACTAGTTACATAGACAAGTTCCCTCGTGTGTGCCGACCTTAACTCTCAGTTAATAAGTAGTTACTGTCAGTAATAATGTACCCATAAAANAGGAGAAACAAAAGTCATTACGTCACAGAAATTGTTTCCTGGCTCGGGTTCGCAGACGTTATTTTCGGCATAGACAAGCGACAGCCGGAAATACCTCTGCGTTTGCAGGCTATTGGTCAATACGGCAAGGTCTTGGTTTGAGATTTTCCCATAAAGACCTAAAGGTCGGCTCACACGAGGGGACTAGTCTTTTCGACTAGTCCCTGCAACTAGTTCCCTAAAGAGTTTACACGAAGGGGCTGGTCGCAGGGACTTGTCCCACAAACAGTTTGCACGATGCGTTTTGAGGAACAAGTCGCTGGGACTTTTCCCAAAAATTCAAACTGGTTTGAATTTGTGGAACTAGTCACAGGGACCAAATTTTAGTCCCTATAACTCGATTTTGTGGTAAAAATGGCTAGTTCACACAATGAGACTTGTCCCCTCAACTAGTTGCAGGGACTAGTTACATAGACAAGTTCCCTCGTGTGTGCCGACCTTAACTCTCAGTTAATAAGTAGTTACTGTCAGTAATAATGTACCCATAAAAAAACAACATCAAGATACATATTGCTTGTACTTTAGAAAAGCAATTGTCAGCACCGTTATTGTGCTGAGCTATAATTCCTGCTACAAGCACGGTGCCTCTGCTATTTACTAGTACAAATGGGTTTTAGCAAACTAAACCAACAGTAAATTGAATTTAAGTATAATATTAGTGATATTATTAATAAGTAATTTAACAGTTTAACTGACCTTTCAATAAAAAACTCATTATGTGGGTCACAGACATACCCTGATGTGACCCACTCATCGATAAAACGAAGACAGGGTTCCACACTTTGAAGAAAAACTTTTAACAACAGGCAGACCTGAAAACCAAAAATTTAAAGAATTTTTTTTTTTCATACTTTGGGTTTATTTGTATTATTTTGAACCAACAGAAACTCAAGAAACTCGAGTTCCACAGAAGGCTAAATGCTAGTCTGTCATGCATGTACAGAACTGAATGTACATTCACAGTACATGTACTATGAACTGCAAATCTAACGTTGCACATTAAAGCTCTTGTGGTCAAACAGCAGGGGTTTCATCAATGTTTTCAGCAAGTAGGCAACTGGATTTCACAGGCAGGCAAAACTTTTTGAATTGAACCTATTTAAAAGAACAACCTTCCACTAGATGGTCAAACCAGACCAGACAGGCAAAATCATCCTTACATGTAAAGCCAGTCAATTTGCCAGCCCTTAATGAATCCTCTGAAACAGAATAAAGTTCTGTATCCAAGTCAGTTTAAAGTTACAAATAAGCTTTATTACATGGCCATTTACTAGGAAATATAAGATTAATAGTCAAATTTACATTAAATAACAGTCTGTAATGTCAGTCATTTTTACCTTCCATTTTGCTGCACCACCATGTCCATCAGTTTGAATAATGCTTCTGTACAACATTGTTAGAATCCTGCATGTTCTCTGAAAATGTACAACAAAATCCATACAGCTACATGAAAGTTTAAGAACACCTACCATACTTCAACTGGGCTATTGACAACATTTAGCACTTTCAATTAATCCAAATTATGGTTGCTTCTAAAATACTGTAAGTACATCATTGTATTTTTAATTAATTAACTGGATCCTCATACATACTAGATAAAGGTAAAAAAGGTTAAGTTTGTATATGAGCCAAGTGGCCCACCAGGCTGGAGCTTATCCTGGTTTCTGTACCATGAAGTGACTAGGAGTATTTCTACTACCCCCTGGATGGGATGTTAGTCCATCGCAGGGTTACCCCCAGCATTAAGTTCGCCGGTACCCATTTATACACCTGGGTGGAGAGAGGCAGTGGGAG